TTCTACAAATGTTTTCTTTTATGTTTAATTTTTTAAAAATTAAAAAATCTTTTATTCATTTGGTACAAGGTTTCACTACACAGCCGGCACAGCATGCGATATTGGGAATCAAACCTGGGTCCTTGCGCTTGCCAGGCAGGTGCTTAGACCATGGAGCTATCTCCCCAGCCCTATGTTTAATTTTTAATCAATATGTAATTTATTTTTATTATAGTATCAGCTGTATATCAGAATTATATGCTGATAGAAAAATAATTTGAGTCTCATTCTTTCCTTTTAGTGAATTAATTAAAACTTGGAAGATTAAAATTTATAAACTACACACTGACCTTCTTAAATATTATTTTAAAATTTCCTTTGTCTTTATAAAATAGAAATTGAAAATTGAATTATTTTGCTTTTATCAATAAATTGAAAATAAATAAATAAATAAAATTGAAATTCAGCTCATAACCCTGTATAATTTTGCTTTTAAAACTGTATTTGTGATATTTTATTTTGATTTTAGTTTTCAAAATCTCATATATGAAACTGACTAACTTTCCTTATTCTTCCAGGTTCTATATTCCTCACTGATGGTAGTATGTTATTTCTAGATCTCTGGTTCTTATAATGGAATTTCAGACTGAGAACTTCTATTGTGTATTTCTATAGATAGTAAAACTATTCTGATGGAGCATAAACAGTATTCCTAAATGTAGCAGTTAAGTTTACTAAAGGAACACATACAACAAATAGTATATCATAGCATTGCATAGCATAGTGTAGCACAGCACAGCACAGCACAGCACAGCACAGCACAGCACAGCATAGCATAGCATAGCATAGCATAGCATACCTTGCATAGCATATTGTTTCGGTTACTCTTCTCTATCTCACTTATTCTTTCTTGCTGCTGGGACGAATACCCTACACCTAAAATCAAGCTCACAGTTACTGGAGGTTTCAGTCCATGTTCAGCTGGCTTCAAGGCAGACTGGCACATGGCAGAGGGCAGCAGTTAATGGTGGCAGCAAAGAGCAAGAGCAAAATGGAGGAGTAGCAGCAACAGTGGCTACAGATTGCAAGTGTGTCTCCCTTAAGTTGCATTCAGGCTATCTGCCCCAGGCTGGGAATAATACTACCACCCATAATCCCAGTAGCACTCATACTCATAATCCCAGTGGATCATGAGTTAATCAAAAACTCTGGAAGTCCACCCCATGATCTGCATGAGGCATTGGGGGAACAACTAGACACAATATGGACATAACACTATCATGTCGTATATCAAATCATATCATATATCATAGTATAAATATGTCAAGGATTTACTAGGTAGATGTGTAATGGCTGCTTCCAGAGTCAGATGTGGAGGAATGCAAAAGGGTTGTCTGCACATTGAGAGCACAAGGATCCACTTAGAAGTCAAAGGAATGGTTTGGAGCTCACTGCAGTGTCCTGTGCATGTCAGTATCAGGAAGCTAAAGGGTCTGCATTGTCAGGCCTTTGCCAGAATTCTGGTGATGGTTGTCCAAAACAATTGACAAAGACTGGAGCACTTCGGAAGAAATAGAAGCAGGATTTACTTCTTTCACTTTTATTCTATCTAGGTTATAGGACTATTATAAGACCATACCTTGGGTGTAGCTTTCCTCTTAAGTAAACTAATCATCCACACATACCCAGAACTCTGCTAAACCCATCTACTAGGTAATTATTATACAAGTTGACAGCAGAATTGACTGTCACACTAGATGTCAGGAAAAATTTTGTTGACTGTCATATTTATCATTTACCAGTGTGATTTGAAGTGGCATTGGATGATCAGGTAGCTGTACAGTCAACAAAGATGACTGTGTGACATTAGAAAATCAATGTGGCTGTCCTGTCCACCCTTACCCTCACTGAAGTTTGGCTGAGCTGTGGATGCTTCTCCTACCCTCATATAAGACAGGTGGTCCCAGGACAGCTACAGGGACCTGATGAACCCTGCCCGATCCTATCCCCACCATCACTGGAGCTCTGCTGAGCTGCAAATGCCTCTCCCACCTTTGCTGCCATTATAACTCTACTGAGCTGCCACTGCTTGTCCCACTGGTAGCAGGAACCTTGGTGAGCCCTAGCCTATCTCCCACCCTATATTAAGAGAGCCTTGCAGAGCTTTGGCTTGCTCTCCTCATCACTGGATACTTCTTGAGCTATGGCTTACCACCCCCTTCATCAAGGTGGAAGTCACACTGAACCTCACAAAGTGGGAGCTTTAGTGAGTCTACCACATTTCCCACTATCATGGGACCCTTGCTGACCCACACCCTGCCCTCTACCATTGCTGCAGAGTCAGGGTAAACATTGGGAGCCTCAAAAATGTTAAAAGGAAGGGATAAAATGAAATCTCAGACTGCCAGGCCATATAAAACAAATCCGGGAGATAAAGTCATAGAAGAACTGGAAGACACGCACCTGACATTTCTAAAATGATAGGAACTGAAGTAAAGAGACAACTCCATCAGTCTATGGAGGAAATCAGATCATAAATAATACCTCAGGTAAAGAAAAGTAATGGCAACAATCATGACAGAATTGCTCCGTATATATAAAGAAGACATTAAAAAATAGAGGGGAATAGAAAAATAATACAAACATTGAATGAACACTACTTTGAAGAACTAGAATGCATGAAACAGATATCCAGTGGCTGGTAAGATATATATCCAGGACATGAAGAATTCCATTGAGAGCTGGCAAAACCACTTGAATGAAACTGAACACAGAATTTCAGATCTTGAAGACAGCATTGCACCTCATGATTGTGAAAAGAAACATCTCTTAAAAATAGCAAAGAACCAGGAAATCAGTTACACAGCTGCAAGATGATGCAAAGCAAAATAATGTAGGACTGATAGATGTCAACAACACAGCAGGAGTCTACATGACTGACATGAAAAGATTATTTGCAGAAGTAGTAGCACAAAATTTCCCAATTTTTGGAAAAGAATCTAACATTAAGTGAGGCATATAAAACTCCACTTAACCATAATAATAAATCTACACCTAGATGCATAATAATCAAGATTCTAGAAATTCAGAAAAAGAATAGAACATTAAAAGCTGTTAGGGAAAAGAAACAGATCCCTTATAATGAAAAGCCCATCAGAATCATGGGAGATTTCTCAACACAAACGATAAAATCAAGAAGAGTTTGTAGTGAGATATTTCAGGTCCTGAAAGAAAACATCTTTTAACCCAAATTGATATAACCTGATGAACTATGGATCAAATTTAATAGAGGGAACCTAGTGCAAGAAAAGAACATGGCAAAGATAAGCCAATACATATGTTTTAAATATCAGTGTAAATGGCCTCAATTCAACAATAAGAAGAAGCAGACTGTCAGAGTGGATCAAGAAATAAAATCCAATAATATGCTGTATACAAGAAACATATTTAACTCGAAATTCATAGACTGAAAGTAAAAGGATGGAAAACAATACTCCATGTGACAGGAACCCAGAAAAAAGCAAGGATAGCTGTTTTCTGGTTGCTGACAATGGGGACTTTAAAACAAGAATGATCACATGACATAAAGAAGGTCACTACATGCTTGTTAGAGGGAAACTGCAAGAGGAAGAAATAATAATCATAAGTATATATGTACCTAATGTGAAGAACCAACATTGTGAAAATGGCCATATTCTCAAAATTGTTATACAGTGCTGGAGAGATAGCTCAGTGGCATAAGCACTGCCTGGCAAGTGCAAGGTCCGAAGTTTGATCATTGGTATAGAAAAACAAAAAACAAAACCAAAAAATCTCTTATATAGATTCCATGCAATCCTGATTAAAATATATCAGTATTTCTCACAGATCTAGAGAATATATTCCTAAATTTCATCTGGAACTGGAAGAGATCAAGAAGAGCAAAAGCAGTCTTGGGCAACAAAGGCTAGGTGGGAGGCATCACAATGCATGACTTGAAATTATACAACAAAGTTACTGTGATAAAATCAGCATGGTACTGGCAAAAATAAAACAAAACAAAAACCAACAACAACAAGGAAGCAGACTGAAGGACCAATGGAATAGATTAGAAGATGCACACACATCTACAAATTCACTTAGTCACCTTATCTTTGATAAAGGGGTGAAACATGCTCAGTGGAAGAAAGACAGCCTCTTTAATAAATGGTGCTGGAAAAAATGGCTTTTCACATACCAAAGACTAAAATTAGACCCATGTTTATCACCATGCACAAAACTATAATCAAAATGGTTCAAAAATTTAAATATCAAAATGAAACACTAAATCTACTGAAAGGGCACCAGGGAGATGGCTCAGTGGAATAAGCGCTTCCCTGGAAAGCGCAAGGGCCTGAGTTCAATCCGTGGGTCCACAAATAAATAAAAATAAATAAATAAATAAATCTATTGGAAGAGAAAGTAGGTAGAAATCTTAAAGACATAGCAGGTAGATAGTTTTTGAACAAAAATGAAAGTGTAGGGAAAATACTTCAAAGAATCAACATTGGGATCTCATCTTTTTGAAGTTTCTGCATGTCAAAATAAATCACCAAGAGAGTAAAGAGAAAGCCCATGAATTGAGAAAAAATTATAGCTGACCATCCCTATGACAAAGAACTTCTATCTAGCATATATAAATAATTCAAACAGACAAAAAACAAACAAAAAAACCAAACAGGCCTCCAAAGTTCAAAGACCCAATCCAAAACATGGGAATCTGAGATGAATATACACTTCACAAATGGAGAAATAGAAATGACAAATAAATATATGAAAAAATGTTCAAGATCATTGATAAAGACATGCTAATTAAAACAACACTGAGCAGTTGTGGTACTGTTGTCTGAGTTCCTCTCTCTGCTGGTGCCGTCCTCATGGCCTCCCAAAACCACAACCCTGCCACTGCTAGTGTTACTGCCACCCACAAAGGAGCTGAGCCCAGCGGTGGCTCTGTCCAGGGCCTTGTGGGCAAGAGGTTACAGCAGTAGCTGATCACCCCCATGATGTCTGGTGACATAGGAATTTCTGCCTTCCCCAAGTCAGGCAACCTTTTCAAATTGGTAGGGACCTTCCATGGAGCAGCTGGCACAGTGTATGAAGACCTGAGGTATAAGCTCTCCCTGGAGTTTCCCAGTGGCTACCCTCACAACACTTCCACAGTAAAGTTCCTCACTCTCTGCTACCATCCCAGTGTGGACACCCAGGGTAACATCTGTCTGGATATCCTCAAGGACAAGTGGTCTGCCTTGTATGATGTCAGGACCATCCTACTCTCCATCCAGAGCTTCTAGGAGGTGATGTCTGAGAATACACTCTCCCTACAACCTGGGAACTGATGGAACTCCCCCGGGCCAGCCTCTTCTGCCATTTTACCATTTGGTTCTCCACCCACAGAACCCAACATGGATAGTCCTTTCAACACACATGTTGCAGAGCTCTGGAAAAATCCCACAACTTTTAAGAAGCACCTGCAATAAACCTATACAAAGCAATTGTCCAGCCAAGAGCCCTAACCTCGGCTGATCAACCTTTTCTTGTGTCTTTTTTACTACTTCTTTAGTCTATCCTTTCCTTGATTTCTGTGTAATACACTATGTCTTGAGCTGTGATTTTTTGTTTTGTTTGCTTTTTAAAATAAGTCTCTGGTTGAGTCTTTGCATTGCATATTATTAAATAAAAACATTTTGATTGTTTTAGCACAAAAAAATAAAGAAAAAAACAACAGTGATTCCTTCTAACCCCAGAAAGAATGGTTATAATCAAGAAGTCAACCAATAACAAATGTTGGAGGGGCTGTGGGTGAAAAGGAGCCCTCTCCATTGTTGGGGGGAGTGCCCAGTGGTACATCCACTATGGAAATCAGTGTGGTGATTTCTCAAAAAGTTAGGATTGGAGGTCCTGTTAACCTAGCTATTCCCCTAGTAGGTATATTTTCAAATGATCGAAAACATCATACAACAGTGATACATGTGTGTTCATGTTTATAACAACACAATTTGTCATACCTAATCTTGTAACAACTGAAATGCCCATCAGCTGAAGCATGGATAAAAGAGATGTGGCAGTTTTATATAATGGAATATTACTCAGCTATAAAAATGACAAATTTGAGTCTTTTATAGGTAAATGGCTGCAACTACAGTCTATTGATAAATGAAATAAATCAGAGACACATGTATAAGCATCACATTATCTCACTAGTGTGAGAACCTGAAAGAGTATAAACAACCTGCAAGTTGTAATAGATACTATGAAGGGGAAAGAATCTCTTCATTGGGAAGGAAAAACTAAGATGAGGAAAAGGACATAAAACAGAAAGGAAAAATATATTCATATATGGGGAGGATAGCTTGGATAATTGTACTGCAGATTTGTGCTGGTATATTTTTTTCTTTTGGTACAGGGAATCAAACTCAGGACCTTGTGCTTGCAAGGCAGGCACTTATGCAACTGAGCTATCTCCACAGCCTGTAACTGGTCTATTGAAAGAAGCAATTAATGCTTAAATTCTTTAA